GGATACTGGAGTCACCTACTCTTTTCTGACTTCCTTCTCTGAATCCCTCAAGAGCCTGCACTGCTTGGGACTCACCTGTAAGCCACCTTGTCTTCCACTTACTCCCCCATTGCACTGTCTGCCGGAAGGCCGTGCTTTTTCCCACAGCTTCCTTCTAATGCCTGAATGTCCCAGCCTGTTAGGCTGAGATATTCTACAAAAACTGGGAATCGTGAGAATGGCCCTCCCATCAGACTTCTCTACAAATGCTGTGCTGACTGAAAAGGAGAATCTGGGACAGAGCCCAGAGACCTGGGAGAATGCTGTTCACCCTAACATCTGGGAGCACGATCTCCCTGGGGGAGCTATCACAGCCGCCCTGTGACAGCTGAACTGCAGGATCCTGTTAAGTTCCCATCGACCAGAGTGATCTTTGTAAAGGGAAGCCCACTGCCCACGCATTCGTTGGTCTGCCCTTAAATCAGTCATCCACTGACTGCTCCGTCTTGTTCATGAGAACAGGGCACCAGCCACTCTGGAACCCAGCCTGAGGCCCCCTCTCTTCCAGACCAGTGTGCCACCCTAATCAAACCATACCCACCACCCAGTTGTTTCTCCCCTCACAGCAGCCAATTTAGCTGCCCAGAGTACTCAACTTCAAGGGCAGAAATTTCCAAATGGACAGGAAGTGCCAGCATCTTAACTTCCCTGTTCATCACCTTTCACCACCCGTGCCCCTGTTTGGGCCTATGCTGGGTGTGCAGACGTAGAGCCTGTTTTAGGCTCCCTACCTGGTGGACTGGGGGCTGCTCTTTGGGTTCTACAGTAGCAGACATGTCCTTGGCTGCGGCCGATACATCCTTCCTTCATCCAGTGCATCACCAGTCAGAGTTGGCCAAATGGATGGGACCCCTTCTCTCACCAGCCGCGGGGCCCCCGGGTCTCCTGGGAACTGTGGGGGAGCCACTGGAGGCTCCTTCCTAGGGACTCGATTCCAGTTATCTCAGGAAGTAGCTGAGAATTTCTGGCAAGCAGCTGCTGCCTTGACAGGGCTTCAGAGCCGACTAGACTCCCTTGCTGGGGCGGCTCTTCAAACTGCAGGGCGCTGGACTCCCTGCTGTGAGGGAGGGGGTGCCTGCCTGTGTCTGAGGGGAGAATGATGTTCTACGTCAGTCAATCAGGCCGAGAACAGGATGACACCAAGAGGTCCTAGACTCTGTGGATAAGACTTGAGCTTTGGGCATGGCAGCCCCAAGCTGGAAATCCTGGCTAAATGTCACCCTTGGTACCTCTCCTCATTTTACTGATCATAGCCCTTGCTGCTGACCGCCTTTATGTGACCTCTTTATTCAATGTCTCTCTTGCTGGCTTCAGGCTCTGCATCTACAAACGGTGATTCAAGACAGCTGTCACCCAGTTCTGACGTGCTTGACCCCATCTCTATGGGACCCCTGGATCGACCAGAACCTTCATCCAGGCATGATGTCCCACATCCCAGGCCCCACAGGACTTAGCCAACCAGTCATAAACCCCAAATCCTGATTAAGAGAGCAAGCATTGGGACCCAGTGCATATCCACTGCCCCTCCGTCAGCAGGAAGCAGCTAGAGCAGTCGTTGCCCCAGTGCCCAAAGAATTGGGCTCCAACTGCTTGAGGGGGAAATGATAGGTAGACAGACATGAGCAGCCAGGGAAGGGGAAGATAAGGTTCAAGGAAAATCTGCCCAGGTAGGGGTCCCACATGAAGACAGCAGAGGCTTTCCAGGGAGATAACTTCCTTGCCTCTCAGAATCTGGCCAACCCAGTCCCAACCTGATGGCACAAAACAAAGAACCACCCAAACCATCCCTCATCTTAATCTCATTAAAGTAAAACTCCATTGCAGTTTTGCTCTCCTGTGGGCTTTTCCGTGTGCATTATGGTTCAAGGACCGAGGAGAGCAAACACGGCCCACAACATACTTGGTGCCGTGACTCGGGTTGCTGCTCCCCCACCAAGGTGTGCAGAATATGGCCTCCTGAGGCTCTGACTCCCCATCGGTCTCTCGACTGAATTCTTTGCTTTGGGATGACAAGAACTGAGAAGAACAAATGTGGCCTGTGGAAGTCATGCTGGGGTCTGCAGTTGACAGTTCTCCCTGAGGATGAGGTGCAGCGGTGTGGCTCCCATCACCCCGACTCCACCTTAGTGACATTTCCCTTTATTAATTTTCACAGTCCTCTGCCTTTCCATGTACATTTTAGAATCATTTGTCAATTTAGACAAAAACTGTACATAGAGCTCATAGTACACATTCATTTTTTATCCTTTTTTATAGTTACAGTATTTACTTATTATATTATTTTTTATTAAAGTATTGTTAATATTAAATCTTCTTGTTTTCAAATGTATATCACAGTGGTTCAACAGTCCCTGTGATCAACTTATATTATGATTGTGAATTATTGTGACCTTTCATCCCCTCCCCCTCCTCCCCACCCCCTTGGTAACCGCTACTTCTTTCTTAGTCTATGAGTCGAATCCTGTTTTGTCCCTTC